GGCTCTGGGCCGCCAGCGCCAGCTGTGCCTGTGCCACGCCGGCCCCGAGCCGGCCCAGGGTCTCGGCCCGGGCGGCCAGGCGGAGCTCTGCGTGCCGCAGGGCGCAGTGCACCTGCCACACGCGCCCCTCCAGCTCCGCCGCCGCCCGCCGCCGCCCCTCCGCCGCCACCAGCCGCCGCCGGGCCGCCGCCAGCTCCACCGCGCCGGGGCTGCTGCTGCCGCCGCCGCCGCCGCCGCTCTCCGTGCCCGCCTCGGGGCCGCCGGGGCCGCCGCGGGACGGGCGCTGCGCGTCGCCGCGGGCGGGGCTCCGGGATGCCGGTGCCGCCGGTGATGCAGCCATGGGGAGCGGGAGCGGGAGAGGAGGGATGCGGCGGGGATATATAGCCCGGGGGCGGTGCTGGCGGCGGGTGGCTCGGCCCCGGCGGGGGCGGCTCCGGCAGCGGCTCCGCACCGGCAAAGGGGGGGTGGAGGGGTAGGGGAGGGACGCGCGACCCTGGAGCGGTGCGGTGCAGCCCGGGGGTCGGTATGGACCGGTACGGCACCGGTGCGGGCTTGGTTCTGCACCGGCCCGGGATTCGGCATAGCCCGGTAGGGCACATTACCGGTACCGACACTGGCACGGCCTCAGCCTCGGTACGACACCGGGCTGGGCATGGCTCGGTGCGGCCTTGTACAGACCCAGTACTGGCACCGGGCTCTGTCCAACACCGGCCCCGGGCTCGGTATGGCCCAGAAGGGCACTGTCCCGGTGGCGTTCCCAGTTTGTGGTGCCCTCGGGGGCCGCCAGTGGGCAACAGGGAGCTGGGGAGGGCTGGTATCACTGGGAAACGCTGAGACGGTTACTGAGGGGTCACTGGGAAAGGCTGGACTGGAAGGGGTTTCCTGGAGAGATTTACCGGGATGGGTTAATGGGAAAGGCTGGACTGTGAGGGGTCACTGGAACGGCTGGTTTGAGTCTGCAGCTCCTGAGAGAAGCAGTTGAGAAGCTCCTGGTGCTGTTTGGGGGATGCCGATGCCTCTGCCTGGGGCAAGGAGAAGAGCAGGGGGCAGCCCCTTTCCCCCCAACACCCACTGGGGCTGTGGCTGGGGTGTCCCATCCTGGGGTGCAGGGAATGTGACACCAGGACCGCGTGTCCGTGGTCGCAGGGCTGTCACGGCAACATCGCTGCCAACGTCATTATCATTCGTACGGTGTTAATAGACCTGGGGGTGGGATGGCACGGGGAGGAGGCTGGAGAGGGAGGTGCCGCTGCCACCTTGCTCCCCCACAGGGCCTGGTTTTTGGGGTTCCTCCTGCCGGAATGCCATCCTCAGGAGCTGCATCTTCATGTAGGTGCGTGGGGTAAAACCTGTTCGTGTTTCACATTGCAGCAGCAGAGAAGATAAAAGGGATGACAGAAACCAGGTGCCGAGCTCTCATCCCACCCCCAAACCGGAGCAAAAGCCTAAGCTAAAAACAAAAACCCAGCCTAAATCTGTTCCAAGCAGAGCCACATCCAGGCCTGCAGTGGATGTCGCCCACGGAGCTGGTGACATTTTTGCTTCCCTTACCTTAGGAGGAAAAATAAAAACCCCATCTCTTGTGCTTTGCATCACATTCCTGCTCCTGCCGGGCTGCCACACGTCTGCCAGGCACCGGAGCAGCGTCAGCGGCCGCTGCGTCACCGCTCCAGCCCCCGCTGCCGGCTCGTCCCCGGCAGACACCGCACCCCCACCGCCCGGGGTCGGAGACACGGCCACGGCACTTCCTCAAGCTCTGCAGGCTGCATTCCTGGCTGTGGGAAAGCTGAAGTCTTCGTGTATCTGATACAAATGCTGCTCTAAAACGGGGTGTGGGATTTGAGGGGGGCTGCTCCATCGTGTGGTTAAAGGTCTGCCCTTGCTCCCCCTGCCAAAAAATCTGTGGGGACAGGCAGGAATTAAACAGAACATCCTCCTCTGCCGTTTTTTCTCTGCCTCCTTGGAACTTGGATCCCCAAGGGTACCCCTGAAAGGGAAAAAGGGCTGGGATCTGCCACACTCTGAGCTTCCCCCATTCCCCCAAAGTGAAACCCCTGAATTGCAGAGGTTGGAGTGATCTCAGGAGGTGCCTCTTGTGTCATCACCTGCTCAGAAAATAATTGCTTTTTTTGGATCACCTCCCACGCCTGCGCTGCTTGTCACCTTCCCAGCTCCAGGTTCTGCTCTGAGGTGAGAAAAGGACATGGAAACAGGGAGCAGGGGGGAAAGGTGGGCTGGGTTTGTTGGGCAGTGAGGCTGAAGGTGACCATGTCCCCAGGGCGTCCGTCCCAGTGGTGAGCAGACAGCAGCTGGAAAAGGCAAACAGTAGGAAAATAAAAGAACTGCCCCTGCCCTGAGGTAAGTTAGTGACTGAGTCCCCAGAACCCCCTGGCACTGCAGGATCTCTGCTCGGGCTGACGAGATATTAATGATTTAGCAGAGGAGGCTGCAATTAGCAGTGCTCAGAATAAACCTCAGTGATGCAAAAGCCGGGTGGGAGCTTTGTTCTCCCTCCCCTGTCAGCGCCCCTCTGCCAAGGCACCAATCACCGGGATGGGACACCAGGATGGGACCCCACCCTGCATCCCACCGCCAGCCCAGTCCCCGGTATTCCTGCAGGGATGCAGGCAGCAGGAGGACACAGCCACGGGATGTGCACTGGCCTCCTCTCCAGCCTCTTTAAAGCCCCGCACTGGGATGTGCTCCAGAAAAGCAAAGCCTTGTTACAGGCAGCAAATAATTAATGTTGCTGCCATATCTCCCAGCCTCTCTGCAAGTTTGTCCCCGGGTGTCCCAGTTACCAGGACAGGGAGGCCCAGGTGCTGGTCTCTCATCCTGGCACAGTTTAAGGGAAAGAATCCTGCATCAGGATTTCAGGTTTAAACCCCAGGACTCCTGGGTTGACCCAGCTCCCTGTCCCACCCCCCTGGATCCAGCATCAGCAGTTTGGGACATGGGAGGTGATGGGACACAGGGAAAAATTCGGGAGCTGAGTGGTGCTGGGTTCAGGGGGTCACACTGTGCTGCTCAGCTCGTCCTGGAAGTGCCAAGCTGCATGGGACAGTGACAGGAGAGGTTTCATGGCCAGGATCTGTGCTCAAGGCAGCTGGCAGAGGAGAGGACACATTTCCAAGCAGTGCTGTGAGTTATCCACGAATGAAATCCCAGACGGGGAAACGACATCGGCTGGGCTTCCGTGCCAGAGGCTTGAATAAATAAACACTGTCTTTGTGCCCTTTAGAGAAGGAAGGAGACTCTTGGCATTGGCATCATCCTTTAAACTGATTTCTCTCTTCTGTTTCCTCCTGGAAACTGGCAGCAGCCTCAGTGCACAGCTGTCGTTCTGCCAGGTTCCTTCTCTGCTGCCACCTTCCCAATGGGTTTTCATCCTTTTTTCCAAACCTTCAGGAAAGGATCCAACCCCCCCCCAGCTCTTTGGGATAGGGATCCTTCAGGACAGGCATCCTTGGGGATCAGGATATATTGGGATAGGGATCCTTCAGGACAGAGATCCTTTGGGATAAGGATCCTTCAGGGCAAGGATCCTCAGAGATGCAGAGACATTGGGATAGGAATCCCTTGGAGCAGGGATTCTTGGGGATGAGGATCCACTGGGATAGGGACACTTCAGGACAGGGAGCCTTGGGAATTAGGATCCATTGGAATAGGGTTTCTTTACAACAGGGGTCCTTGGGGTTGAGGATACATTGGAATGGGGATCCTTCAGGGCAGGGATCCTTGGAGATTAGGATACATTGAGGCAGGGATCTTTCGAGACAGGGATCCTTGAGGATGAGGATACACTGGGTTAGGGATCCTTCAAGACAAGGACCCTTGGGGATGGAGACCTTCAGGGTGGGGATGGGGACCCTCGGGGGAGCCGATCCGCGGGGAGCCAGCGCTACTTGGGACGCGGCCCGCTGGGGATGAGGCCGCTCGGCTGCTTTGACGCAGACCCCCGGGGGGCCCGGGGGGGATGTTCCCCGGGGGAGCGGCATTCCCGGGGGAGCGGCATTCCCGGGGGAGCGGCATTCCCGGCGGGACGGAGCCGCTTCGCCCGGCGCGCTCTGCTGTCCCTCGGCGCGGCCCGTCCGCGTCACGTGTCTCACCTGGCGCAGGTGAGGCGGGGCCGGACGGCGCTCCCGGCTCGCAGGTAACGCCGGGCGGGGGGACCCGGCCCGGCCCCGGCCCCCGGCCCCGACCCCCGGCCCCGATCCCACCCCCGGCCCCGGCATCAGCCCCGGCCCCGCTGCCCACCCCGCCGGCACCGCCCGGCGCTGCCCGGCGCCTCCCGGCCCGGGGGCAGCGCAGGCCGCGACCGGCACGGAGGGAGGGAGAGAGAGAGGAAGGGACAGCGGGATATCCCATCCCCGCCCCGGGGATCCCATCACACACCCACCCCCGCCGAGCCCCCCGCGACCCTCGGCTCCGTCCTCCCGCCAGGGCGGCTTCGCCCTCCCCGTGCGCCCCGGGCTCCCCCGGCACAGGGACCCCCGGTTCCCCCCATCCCAAGGCTGGGGGATATCCCCCCATTGCCCCCGGCGCTCCCCCGCCTTTCGCTTCCCGCTGCTCCCGGACCTTCCCCGCCCTGGCCGCGGGGGATGGTGTCGGGGCTCTCCCGGGGGGCTGGTGGTGGTGGGAGCTCTCCCCGCGGGTTTTCGGGTCTCCCTGGTCCCTGCTGGGGTCGGCTTTGCTTTCCAGGGATGGAAAACTTCAGTGGGGAGTGTGGCAGGACCCTGCGCGGGGCAGGGCAGGCCGGGCTGGGATGGGGCTGTCCCTGCTGCCAGCTTCTCCTCTCCTCAAAAATCCGCTGTTTGGAGGACATCGGGGGGCCCAGGGTAGGCAGAGAGGGCTCTGTTTAGTGCCCAGGCAGGTCTCCCCCTTCCTTCTCCTTCATTTGGGAGAAAGAAGGGCCAAATTTTGTTTCCCTGCAGCGTGGTGGGGTCTTGGCTGTCAGCTGGTTTTGGGCCAGGGGCACAGGGAGGCATTTGGTGAGAGGCAGTTCCTCGGCTGGGCTGTTTAGATCCCAAATATTTGAGAGGGAGGATTGAGCAGCACAGGGAAGATGCTGGATCCACGTTACTCTGGGCCAGGATCTCCATCACTGCCTGGTGTCAGCAGAGAGAACAGGAGCTTTACAGGGTGGCTTTCAGCTCCTGGCAAGGCTGCTTAGAAAATTCCACAGGGTTAAGACAAGTTGTATCTGTGTGTAAACTCTCTCTCCTGAACTCAGGAGCCATTCCCTGGCTTCCAACACCACCAGCAATACTGTTATTGTCAAACCCATGTGTAAATTAGGAGGTTCACAACTTAATTTAGCTATTTTTTTTTTTAGAACTTCACAAAGAAATCCTGTCCTCTGAACAATGAAGATCTTAGACCCGGGCTAACTCTTAGAGGTGCAAACCCTTTTTGAATCGTTCCTTGCTGCTCTGGAGCAGATGCTGAGGCTCTTTGGAGGGACCTTCTCCAGTCTCACACGGCACCTTCGTGACAGCAGAGGAAGCAACGAGAGAGTCACGACCCTGTGAGTATCATTTGGATGTGGGTTTTGGTCTGAGCTCTTGTTTATGGCTGTGGGTTTCAGGCCAGCCTGTTGCCTGTGCTAGAGAAGCTGATGGATTGAGGAGCTGTGTCTTGTCCATGCTCCCAGGGAACTTTTCTGTGTGATCCAGTGGTTGCAGAAACATGGGAAGGGATGAGCCCAGGACTCTGACAGGTCCCTGTCTCTGACACGTGTCCCTGCAGCTCTTTTTCATACTCTTCCTTGTGTCCAAGATGCTCTGAAATTTCAGAATATCATGTATTGTTACATAAGTGAGTGTTGCTGTTGGCACAGAGAACACAGAGTGTTGTGTTGCTGTGATACAAATGAGCAATGCAGATGTTGGATCTCTTCCTGAGGCCTCAGGATGAAGAGAAACATCCCAGTAATCCGCTCTGTCCTCAGTGCAGCTCAAATGTTTTTTGGCCTGTTTTTAAATTTTGAACAAATGATGAAGCCGGAGGAAAAAAACTTTGTTGTTCTGAAGAGAAAGCAATCAAAACTCTCCACTGATGCTGAGGTGAGGGAGCTCTGCCTGCTCAGCACTGAAGTTGCAGCATCTGGGGCTTTTTATTTAACATATTGCCCAGGAATGTGCAGAGGGAGCTCCTGGGATGAAT